GTGCTTATGCCGGCGCCGCACTTACGAACGGGGCTTTCTCGCCCCGGAGCTCGAAGGCAGCGGTCAGCCGCCTCGACCTCCGGGGCGAGAAAAGCTGCTCCCGGTGCCCCTGGTCTGCTGGGGACCGTCTCTGGCTGACCAGGGGCATCGGGAGCAAAGCCGCAGCCCCAGCGGGTTTGCTCGCAGTGCCCCTGGTCTGCTGGGGACCGTCTCCAGCAGACCAGGGACACTGCGAGCAAACCCGCAGCAGCGGGGGGGTCCCCTGCTTCTGAGGCTTTGCTCAGAAGTACAGTTGAAATCTGTGTTCATGTCAGTAATCCATGTGTCATTAAAACAGAGTAAGAAGTGAGAGTTGGCTGTTAAAGAAATACCATTTAAGGGCATTTAAGAAAATGCTGAGGGTAAAATTCACCCTGTGAAGTGAGGCATAAAGGTCATTATCTTGTAGGCTTAAATGGTTCTGAAAGTAGCATATACCTCTTCTCTATAATGGCTAATAAAAGTGTAAATGACCTACCCATCAGCTTTGCGGATATATTTTAAGAAACCATGAATCTCTTAGCCGAAGTGGAGAAACTATTTTTCCATGGAATGAGCTATTAAATGTCTTAGGGCACATCTATCATGTACAGCACTGTAGCTGCATCACTGCTGCATGTCTAGTGAAGATGCTCTATACCGACAGAAGAGAGCTCTTTCATTGGCATAATAAAACCACACCCATGAGAAGCTCTCCAACAGCACTGTCCACACCGATGCTTATGTTGGTGTAACTTATGTCTCTCAGGGAGTGGTTTATTCATACCCTTGAACAGGGATGTTAAAAAGGGTTTTGTTTTGTTTTTTTCCTGTCCCACACATTTACACCTGGGGGAAGGGAAAGGCAGCTCCATAGGAGCTGGTATTCATGGAGTACCAGCTTAAAAGCCAGCTCCCTACGGGTACCAGCTCCCACCTGGTACCCCATGGTGCTGCCTCTGTACAGGGTAGCAGTGCTGGGGGGACAGGTAGCTCCGCGTACCAGCTCCCCACAAGCACCAGCTCCTGTCTCCTCTCCCATCCTGCTGTCTCTGATACAAGGGGGCCGGGCCCTTATGTGTAACCATAAGGGTTAACCAATGAGCCCAGGCTCATCGCTTAACTGTTTAAGACTACGCCTACACTGCAGTGTTATTTCAGAATAACTGATGTTATTCCGAAATAACACAGTCTGTGTCTACACTACAAGCAGTTATTTTGACGAAACGTCAAGCTGGAGGACTTCTTACTGACTCCTTTAACCCTCATTTTACGAGGAGTAAGAGAAGTCGGTGGAAGAGTGCTCTCTCAGACTTCCTGCTGTATAGGAAAAAAAGCCATTTCGACTGAAGCTATGCAATTGACGTAGCTCAAGTTGCATAGCTTATTTTGGCTTTAGCCTTGCTGTGTGGACGTGCCCTAAAAGAATACACTAACACATGCCTGACGTCTAGAAAACTAAGGTCTGATGACATTAGCCATAGTGTACACATAACTTTTGGTCTTGTACTCACTACCACTTTTTTGTCAGCAGCTGAGAAAACTAATAGAAGCTTCAAGATAGCTTCAGTCAGCACTCAAAACTTCTTCTGCTTCATGGATTGCTTGTACTCATTCAAGCATAAAAAAACCTAATTTACTGAAAAGCCATTTTCTTTTACAGAATGCTTCAAGATGACTAAGACAATCTCAACATGCGGGACTGAATTCTAAATGGGACTACATATATATGTATATATCTAAAAAGTAACAGCAAGAGAGGAGATCACAGGATGACAGTTGTCTGCCTCAGCTTTAGTTACACAAATTGTATGCAGTATTCTCCTTCAACAGAATCTAACCATTATAAGGCAGGCTCCATAGTCAGCGTTTCAGTATATAAACCCCACCATAAAGGAAGTACTAATCTGCACAGAGTTGAGGAATGTAAACAGGGCCGAGGGCAACAGAAAATAAGGTTGACAACAACACTGCTCAAAGTGAAGAACTATTCCTGTTTCATGCCAAAATGTGTCTGATTATACAGAATATAATCATTCTGATGCATACATGGATCAAATTTGAAAAAAATTAAATGCACTATACACCAATAATTTAGAAAACTGTAAAATGTCTACATACTCTTATTATTCTACAGAGCTCTCTGCTAGAGGATCTCAAAAACCATGTGCATAACTGAAGCAACATGTATTAATTAAATCTAACACTGCCCCGTAGGATAGGTAAACTTAACCTGTAAATCCAGAGGGAAAAAAATTGAAGGTTTTAAATATTCCTTCTTGTGATGCAGTTAGCCTAAATCAGGGATTACCAAATGTTTGGAAAACATGGAAACATTAAGGCAATGAGTCCCACGGTTCCATTTTCTGTAAACAGGGACGCCTTGTTCTCTGGTCCCTATTTCCCTAGCCATGGTCCCGGAGAGCAGCATTCAATACATCTCCATTATAGTAGAGCATAAAGCAGTAGCCCGAGTAGAGGTTCTTTGTTGTAAAAAGGAGACTAGAAGCTTTTAGAGGTGGCTGGAAGTGAAGAGGAGCCAGTACCATGCAACCTGTCAGCTCTCCACAGAGAACTAGCAAATGCTTTGTGAACATTTTAAGAACCATTGACATTTACCCCTAACTCCTCAAAACAAAAATGAAGTTACTTAAAACCAATTAATTTGTTGACGTGCCCTTCTAGGATTTCTGAGTATTATCTGCTTTTTTAGAATTACACTGTATCCGTTTTGACTGGACAAAATCGGTGTTTGTCCAGATTAGGGATGTAAGCGAGCAGTTGAGTGGAGTACTCAACTACTTGCTTCTCCCTCCCCCCTTTGCTGCCTTTGTACGAGAGGCAGTGGGGGGAAGGGAAGAAAGAGCAGCTGGTGCTGAGGGGGAGCCAGCTTAAAAGCTAGTTCCCCCCAGCACTGTCTCGCCTCCAGGGCATAGGAGGAATCAGGGCAGGCTGGAGCAGCCCCTGCCCACAGCCAGCCCAGCCCACCCGCAAACAGGGGCTGCTGGACCCGGCGTGAACCAGGACCGAGCAGTCCCAGCTCATGCCGGTCTAGGATCGCTGCAGCTCTGCATTTTAAATGAAATAAGAGTCTGCTGGACTTTTACTACATTTAAAATGCAGAGCCGCAGTGGTCCAGAGCTGGCACGAGATAGGACTGCTCAATCCCCGATCGAGCCGGCTCCTGGAGCTACCCTTGCTGTGGCTCTGCAGAGTGGCCCTTTCATTGACTAATCATGTAGTTGATACAAAGTGTATCAACTACACAATTAGCCAATTAACCGCTTTTACATCCTTAGTCCAGATAACTCAAAACCTATTACAATACACAAAACTGTGATTTGTGTGTGTTTGTCTGTGTGCATGTCTGCATGCACACCTAAAAGATATGTGCTGTTTGTTCAAAGCAAATGTACAGAAACAGGAGAACAACCAAAATTCTGGGTTTTTTTCTGGGGTTTTTTCCTGCTATACGTATTAAGCAATAATAATACTGAACTATATTAATTTGCAGATGAGTCTATGACTATTACGTAAGGACTACTACCAGAAAAGTATCATACAAATGTGGTAGATTTCATTAAGCTCACACTTAATTAAAGTTACTGCATTTTATCAAATGTTCAATACTGCTGGCTTTCCTTTAGCTCTAGGGTTTTATTAGAAATAGAAGGTGTAGAAAAACTTTTTTGATTTTGTGTGACTAGCACAAAGTTATGGAATTACAGTTACTATTATGAGTTTAATTTTTCAACTATTTGCTAAAATCCAGACAAAATGTTCTATGTTAAACACCAACAGAGTTTTCTTTTCTATCCTGGATTTTTAACACAAGGAAGCGTGCAAGCTAATTAGAGTGCATTGTTTTCCATAAAGGCAAAGTTGTGTATGAAATTCAGCTACACTTCTTACATTGGCTAACTTTATGTATTGTAACTCCTACAGCAATTATAACACATTCAACTGGACTACTAGAATTTTTCTAATTGTGATGAAGAAACTTTTTTGAAAGTCTGAAAGTTAAAGCTTTTTCGTTACTTAGAGTCAAGTAGGACTTGACTGAATTTACTGATTTTTTTGGGCATGTTAGAAAGTGCTTCACAAATGGAGCATCTTTATACTTTGAAGGGTTAAACAATAGTAGCCTGTCATGCAAAATAACATTCTGAACCACAAAAAGTTTTATAATATTTTAATACAGTTTCATAAAGAGTTCTGCCTTATAAGGTCATCTAAGGGGCAAGAAAGTCAGTCATGTTGTAGAATGTTCCACATTTCATGAGAAGTTCCCAAATTCTGACCCTGACATCCCCAACTCTGTGCTTCACTTATAGTCACAGGGCACCAAAATATTTAAGGGTTTTTTTTAAATCATGGCTTTCCTGTTTCTGTGGATGACTACAAGACTAACCCCATTAATGTTCTTCAAGTATGCTGAGTTATTCACTTGCTATTATGCTTGTGATTTTCTCAGCAAGAGATCCAAACATGAAACCAAGTTGTAGAAGAAAGGACTGTCTAAATTATGCATGTTACCTCAAGAGCAAACATTCTGTCCATCATACTTCTTGATGAGGTGGCATCAGCTACAATGTGAACTTCCACACCTCTGCCAACCAATTCCAATGCTGTTTGCTGGATGCACACATGAGTCTATCAGAAAAATACCAGCATTATAAAAATATTTATCAGATTATGTGGAACTACAGTAAAAAATTAAATTAGGCATCAATCCTATAGTTTGCACATTAATTAAATTACTAATTAATTCAATGGGAATTTTGAATGAAAACCTCATGATTGTAGGATCTGGCCTCAAACTCTATTTATAATCATCTAGTTACAAGTTTTACAAGATTGTCCTCTTTGAACAACAAACATGATGACAAACAATTTAAATTCTAAGTGTTATCTGTCCTATTACACTGCTTTGTGCAAAGACATCAACATGAAAACACTTTTTCAACCACAATACTATAATGAACAAAGACTTACTTCTACTCCAAACAAGACAACACTGCGGACTCCAGGAATGTCTGCTAATGCAGCTTCTACTTCTGGCAATACCATAGAAAATTTTGTTTTTGGAAGCACAAGTTTAACTCCCGTTAAATCAATTTCTTGCACAGTGCTTCCAAGGCCTTTGGGATATTGTTCTGTCACAATGACCGGAATTCCTAAAATCCGTGCACCTTGGAGCTGCAAGGAAAAAAATTCCACGAGAATTTGAAACAGTTATCTAAGCATTAGAGGCATGAACCTATAGTACTTAAAAATGGACTGTATAGGCACCAGTCACTGGTAGTATCCATGCATTGATGACAATTTGTAAATATTTTTTAACTAGTTACTGAAGCGGAAAAAAATGAGTAAACCTACCAATCGTTGTCCTACACTGATGATATCACCAAAATATTTGATAGCAGGTCTGAATCTTTCTTGCATATCGCAACAAAAGAATACAGTGCTTGAAGGTGTCAAGTTACCCAGCGTGGTTATCTGAAAACAAAAATACAGATTTAACATTGCAGTTTTAATTCAATTAGTTAAAAAAGGGGATTTCTAGAATGGGAAATAAAGGTTTAAAACCTTATGCCAGGATTTAAAACACACACTTTTAAATCCTAATTTAGATAAGTCCTAAGTATTAGAGAGTAGTTGCTTTTTCAGGTCCATTCAAACTTCAGCTTCCGAGGGGGTCTCTACACTTCAATAAAACAGCCTTGGCAGGCATTGATCAATTCTTTCAAGTCAACTGTGGGCATTTTATTGCAGAGTAGACACATCATAAGAATACTAATTGTACAAACTGTTATGGTCACTGCGTAGTGCACTAAGACCACACATTAATTTCACAAAGATCACCACATATTCCATTTCTAAACCAACTTTGGAAAATCAATAATACATTTGGAATATTACTATTAAGAATCAGAGTATCTACCCTTATGGAGGAAATTGCCAGGGGGAAAGGGTGATTTATGGTGTGTGCGCAGCTGAGGTACTGCCACCAGTAACAGCACCATTACTCTTACAAGCATCTGGTCAACATTCTCCAGCAACTAGAAGAAACTGACGACCTTACCATCTTGAAATATGAAATTTCATAATGGAAATATGAAATACAAAGAACTTTGGAAAAAGCTTGAAACCTTTTTTAGTATCATAAATAATCAGAACAGCATGCATACAAGTTTTGGATTTGCTTTGCTGTTCATCTTTACAAAAGTAAAAAATTTGAAAGGTTGCCCAACTATGTTTCACTATTCACAGAACAATTACTTACACAACTATAAACTACTCTAAAATAAACCTGCAGTAGTTCTATGCCAGGGGGTCAAAGTCTAGACTTTCAGATATAACACAAAATTAAAGTAGCATGTTCATGGAATTAACACAATATGGAATTCTGCATTAAATACCAAACACGAACATGAAGTTTCCAGAAGATCATGTAGTCAGAGACCCAAAGGTGACCTATGTTTGAATTTTTGTCATCTGATCATTTCTCTCTTCTAGATTCCAACAACACTGCTTTTATATTTTTGCCTTATAGAGTTTGCATTACAATTTTTTTTTTAAATAATGGACGTAACAAATAACTTTTCCAAACATTTTACTTTGATGCGGCATTCTTTCTGCCATCATCCTTCATCTGTACTTTATCTCTCTCTTAACATGGACTCCGTTCTTCTGACATTTTTTTTCTTTAATACACTAGCATCTTAGTAAAGACTAACACCAAGGTGGCACTATGTAAGTAGTAAAAACTTTTATTTTACTTTAATGCTGAAATTCATTCCATAAAAGATGTTTACTATGCTCGCTAACTACAAAAGCAGCTTCTGCTCTCTGGGAATTCACACCTCCAGATCAGCTGCTAGAAGTGGGCCTCATCCTCTTTGATTGGATCCACCTCGTCATCCTGATCCTGGCCTGCATATTTATTCCTGCCTCTGGAAATTTCCACTACATGCATCTGACGAAGTGGGTCTTTGCCCACGAAAGCTTATGCGACTACTATCTTTGTAGAAACTATTCAATTTTGTATTTAAATATTACTATAAGACTATTTCCTAAAAGGCTTTAGAACCATGTAGGACCAGACAGACACTGAGATGCTCACCAAAAGTGAAAGCCTCTTAAAATGAACCTTTGTTTGTTTCTGATATTTTTTAAATGGTAACTTCATGTTGGCAAGATGTATCCTCATGTTAACCTTAGTAAATAAATTGAAGCCAAAAGTTTATAAAATAAGGAATATAAGTGACTGGTTGAGTGACTACTTGCTCTTTCTCCTTCTCCCCCCCACTGTCTCTCAGAGGCAGCAAGGGGGAGGGAACAGTTCCCCTCAGCACCCTCTCCATGATGCACAGAGAGGAGAGCAGGGGAGGCAAAGCTGCAGCAGTCCCAGAGCCGGCAAAAGCTAGAACTGCTTAGTCCCAGCTCGCGCCAGTCCTGGAAGCTATCAATGCTGTGGCTCTGCATTTTAAATGTAGGAGGAGCCGGGCTTCCTGCACCTATTACATTTAAGCTGTGGAGCTGCAGCAGGCGAAACAATCACCCTCCCCCTTATAGACTAATTGTGTAGTCAATACAATTTGTATCAACTACACGATTAGCCAGTTACCTGCTTCTTAACATCCTTATTATAAACCCAGATTTGTGTTCAGGTACTACCAACAGAACTCCCATACTACAGTATATGACCAAATCAAATGTGGCTGCCTCAGCTTTTGACCCTCTTCAAACTCTAAAATTGACTTTTAACCCCAAATTTAGCTGCACCTTTTCTGTACTCCTGATTGCCCTCCATGGGCAGAGGTGAAGGCAGGGGCTGAGGGAAGCAAGCCTTCAACTCTGGCCCCAGCCTGGTCCCTTGTACCTAGATCCTGCTCCACGGGAGGAAGACACGCAGCTCCAGCCTCTCCAGCACAGGGAGGAAGAAGGGTGTGTGGCCCAACCCTCTCTGCCTGCAGTAGGTATTCTGGAGGCACAGTATGGGTGGGGCCAGGCTGTCGGTTTGGGTAGTTAGTATGCTAGGCTTTCCCCACTTAGCATACTGGCCACCGGTGTTCCCCTGTGTTGCAATCCAAATCAGTATAAGTAATTTATTTTTAATTATGTATCACATGAAATGGGATTAGAAATTAATGCAGCCAAGATTTTTGTTGGCGTATAGATGAGAATTTTCAAGATCAGTAGCTAATAAGAACAGAGGGATTTACTGTAATCCAAATAGACAGCTTAACCACTGGCAGACAATTAAGAATTTGAGAGGCTAATGCCTGGATTTTCACTAACACAGCACGTTTACATTAATTTACATCAATGTATGTATATCAGTGTAGGTACACAAGAGCAAGTTTTCCTGTTAGATGTATCTAAATTGAAGTGTAGCTTTCATAAAGGAACATGCAGAGACAAAATTAATGAAAGGTGAGGTTACAAGCCTTCTGAACTTTGGAGACGAGGGGGAAGGAATTGAATATTTTCAGTTGAAGAACAACATGCAGTGTTGTCACTTTTTGATCACAGTAATCACAATTATATTCTGGACCAATGCCTGAATGCCTATCATAATTACAATGAGTTTATGGAAGGACATATCTGAATTAAGGATGATAAGGAATGGGTATTTTGCTAATCATGTGGTTGATACAAATTGTATCAACTACATAATTCGTTGATAAGAAGAGGCTCACTCCAGGACCACTGCTCTTCTGAATTTTAAATGTTGTAAGAGGCCTAGTAGCTCTTACAACATTTAAAATGCAAAGGCGCAGCAGTCCTGGTCCTGGCTCCTACAGGGTCCAGCAGCCCCTGTTTACAGCAGCCCAGGCTGGCCACAGGCAGAGGCTGCTCCGTGGCCAGCCCCAGGGACCCTGTTTGCGAAACCTCCCCCACTTCTGACAGAGTCAGTGAAAAGGCAGGAGGCAAACAGGAAGCACTGGGGGATACAAAGAATAGCTATATCTTAAATAATAAAGAATTATTCATTTTTTACACTGCATTTCAACTCAACCAGAATTTCTGCCTGACAGAGAAAAATGAATGGACTACAGCTAAAACTGGATCATTCCTCTCCACATCAGAGAGGAATGTTTTAACTCTGGACTGAACACCCCTAGACAACTACTCAGCCCCACTGCAGCTGTGAGGTTCTCACCTCTGGTCCCACTGGATCCTCTGCAGCTGGGGCTGTCCCCCAGCTGGCTGCCACCAGAGGTCACCGACAGGAGCCAGAAAACTAGTTAAAGATTAAGCATACTGGTAAGCCTCCTGCTTAATGGTATGCATAGCAGTTAACCATTTTAAATATCCTTACCATAAAATTCACATTTTAATTATTTAAAAAAGGATGAAGTTTCACAGCTCCCTAAGCTTGAAAAAAAGGGGGGGGGGGAATTAGGTAATTTTGTTCAGAGTGCAACCACTGCAGCACAAAATGTCTGGTAGGCATGAAGATATATTACTATGAAAAACATGTACTGCATCTGTCTAGTGGTCTGATTGATTGCCATTAAGTCCCTAACCTGTAACTTATCAGAAATTTTTTTGTGCAGGGCTTAATATAAAGTTGGAGACATATATTGCATGGAACAAAGCTTTGGCACTATAAGATTTGTAATTAAAGATTAATCTTTATGTTTTCAGTTTTGAACCTTGACCCCAACTTCAGCTCTCCCTCATCACAAATTGTGTGTGTGTGTGTTTTGTTTGTTTGTTTGTTTTAAAGGAAGAAACAGTTGGCCGGCACTGTCTATTTCATATTGTAAGCGTTTACCCGTTTTATATATTGCACCATCTCTGGAAAAAAATATGTTCTGATTCATTAAATATAAAACCCAGATTCAAGAGTGGCTGGGAGATGCATGTTTCTGTGAAGAGAATAGGTTACAGGCTTAATAATATAAATGTATCAGTTGGTATAAATATAAAAATGTGGGTTTGCTGTATTGTTTCTTCCTGGATTTAGATTTTGCTTAATCCCTTTTTACTCTGCCCAAAAGTTTCCCTCAAGCATTGCAAATCATTACAATTAAAAAGCTAGTCTGGAAATGCAATTGTTTTCATAACCTGTGTTCTATAGCGAATCATTTTTAAAACAAGGCATGTATTGCAACATGTGGAAGCTCTGAGATTTCTTGAAGATAATTATAATTTGTTATTAAACTATTTGTGCAACAATTAAAGTGATAAACGCTAATAAATCCTACTCCAAAACTCTGGTCACAACTGTAGACATAGAATTCTAAATATGCATGTTTATTTTCCTACAACTTTCATTTTTTCAAGGAATTTTAGATTACATAGGAGGGGGTGGGTGGGTATGAGGATGGGGTTTCTACAGCAAGGGCGAATATGGACTTCAGAGGGAAGCAGGCAATGGGTGTGAAAAGGGGAGTGTACCTGAGAGAGAGGTGGCTGGCTGGGGGTTGTGGTACTAGAATACTTTTTATGATGGGGGTGCTGAAAGCCAATGGATACAACGGTGAAGCTTATATATATATATATATAGATATATATATA